CTCTGCTGTGGCTCTGTGAAGTTGAGGGTCCCTTTCAGGACTTTGAAAAGTAGGCATAAAGGATGATCATGCCAAAATTTTTCCACTTCCATGACTCAGTGTCTAAAAATACATTTTTGTGAAGCGTCTGAGATTCTTCTAAGAATAATGTCATCCTCACATGAGTTGTTTTGGTTCAAGAAAGTTCTACGTAACAGACTTTTGAGGAAGATTTATTATCTGGGCAGTACTGTTTGTGCAGGAAGGATGGATGTTTAACAAAACAGATTAGAACTCCATTCCCCAAGAAAGAGTCTATCAGATATTTTTCTACAGATTCTAGATCTTCCTGGTAAAGGCTTTTGTTTTACACTAGCTCATGTAGAAGCTTTGATTCCAAATGGGCATTTCCAAATATGTCATCCGTACATGCTTTCAAATATTTCTCTGACTTCTTCCTTCTCTCATGAATTATTTATAATTCTTTACTTAAAGAGATAATCAGCTAAAGAGCTTTCTCAAAGGTGGCAAAACTAGAAAGCAAATTAGTTTTATGATTTCAAAGAATTAGCTGACTATTCATTTATTATAATGTTTTCAAACTACTTTAGAATTCTCAGAGGAAGAATAATGGTCTGGTATAGAGCTATAAGGTTTCCTTTATGGGCATACTAAGCCATTTAATCCTGACAGGCCCAATTGTTTTTGATTTCCTGCCATGGATATCCATCACAGCAATAATGGTTGTGATTAATAGTATTTTTGCCCAGTAACGCAAAGCATTTATAATGTATACCTGGAAAACATTCCAAAATGGAAAGTAACATTAACGTTAAAAAAAAAACCTGAAAAGTCAATATCCATTGAGTAAAGAATGTTATAAAGGCACTTTCAGCAAAAATGGAAAATAAACTTTTAGATTTTCATTACTTTTAAGAAGAAAGTGTAGAAATAAAACTTTGGGGAAAAGTCATCCCATTTTAAGATGAACATCAATATCTGAAATTTACTTATCCATGTACATGTTATAAAATGTAAAAGATAATAATCTTTTAGTAGAACATTTTAAATATTTACACTAGCTAAAAAGATATCCTTCTCCAAAAATTCTAGAATGGTGGAAGCAGAGTATGGCATACTTATAAAAACAGTTATCTCCAAAAGTGGATTTTGTGTCAGTAATTAATAGATCATAGCCATATCCATGAGATAAAGGCAAAACCTAGAAGACAGGTAGTGTACTAATAAGCTAAATTTTGGTGGTATTCTTGCAAAAACAATTAGCCTAAACTTTTTTTTTTCAGAAAGACAGATGTAGAAAAGAGTAAACAAACTTTAAATTTTACTTTTCAGAGCATTCATCCAGTCATTAATTAGTTCAATTATATATTTATTTATTCAGTAAACAGATATTTACTGATATTTGGTCACCAGAAAGATACTAGGTTGAGTCAGTGAGTGATGATTTCCACTTTTAGAGTGGATGTTTATTGAGGACAAACTGTGGCTAAGTACTTTAAATGTTTATCAACTCTGTGAAATGTATTTTTTTCTTTATAATTTCTCCTTTTACATATGAGAAAGTTGAGTATCATTGGAGTTAAATTGTTGACTCAAAGTCACACAAATAACAAATGAGAATTAGGCATTCAAATCTATCGTGTCATTCCCCAAGTCTAAACATTACAGTGTCACAATATAGCAGGGAACAGAGAAACATACACGATACTGATACTAAACATCAGAGACAGTAAGAAATGCTGAGAGATGTCATTTGTCATAAACACAGAAGGGAGCTGTTCATTCTGTTAGTCTCTAGACAACCTCTTGGAAGTCTTCATAACAGCTAGCATTTGAGCTGGCTCTTAAAGATAACTGGGGAAAGGCATTCTATTCTAGATAGGGAATCAAAGTGTGTGGTAGGTGACAGAGACAGCTTAGTCTGACTGCTGAAAACTGTGTCTCCAACACCTATTGTCTTTGTACAGCAGTTACAATTTTTAGAATACTCCCATTAGCATAAGTGAACAATGCCATAGCTAGAAATCATTGCAATAGAAGACATCTACTATGGAGTCAGTTGTATGGGCATTAGAGTTTAGGATGATGGTCCTTCAGTCTAGACTCTCACTGACCAGTTTTGGAAAATTATTTATTTGTTGTTTGGTCAAACTGTGATAATACCAGGGTCTATTTCAGGGAGTATATATCAACTGCTTAGCTTTATGTAAATCATGTAATATGCACTCAGTAAAGTGCTATGGCTACTATATCATAGTATCTCAGGAAATCTATGAATGTTCAATTATTGCAGGAGTCTCTGTGTTTTTTTTTTTTAAATTAAATTTAATTAACTTGAAAGAGTGACAGACCAAGGGAGAGATAAACAGAAAGCAATCTTCCATCCACTGGTCCGCTCTTCGAATAGCTGCAGTGACTATGATTGGGTCAGGCCAAAGCCAGGAGCAAGGAACTCCATTTGGGTCTCGACTGAGGGTCACAGGGTTCCAAGCACTTGCACCATCTTCTCTTGCTTTTCCAGACACATTAGCAAGGAGCTGGACCAGCAACTTAGCAGCCAGGACTAACTTGTACTTCAATATGGGATGCTGGAATCATTGCCAGCAGGTTAGCATACCATGCCACTACCCCAGCACCTTGGTTGTCCTTCAGTACCATGACATTATTTGAATAGAACCATATCATATAGCACTGAGTTCTCACATATAAAAGTTTCAGTAGTATTCTGCTGGTTTCTCTTGCTGGCTCATTGTTCTGTTAGACTGCCTGTCTTCCACTCTCCAACAAATATGGTCATCTTCTGTATTGCACTGCAAGACTCATTTGGTTAATGTACAGTTTGGCACTTATTGTGCATATTTGGGTAGAGAAGAAATATTTTACCTATTCATCACTTTTGTAGTGTGTTTGGGAACAGGTAAATAATGTGCCTTGACCTAAATGGTTAAGAATTAACTATGCAAAGTAAGAGTCTTGGAGTTTGGGCTAGGGCAGGAAGTAAGGGAACAGGGAATAATAGGATCCAAGTTACAGATTGGAAAGAATTCTAAAATGCTAGTGAAAGTTTAGTCTTGGTCCTATAGGAAATGAGGAGTCATGGGTGGAAAAACCAAGGGAGGAGAGCAGCATAATCATACTTAGATTTAAGGAAGATAATGACCACATGTTGGAGGACTGCATCGTGTATTGTCTGATAACTCTACATCTTTAAAAACTCAGCACCTATGGAAGGGTTTCTTGATTCCTTAAGCTTGGTTTTGGTTTCATATATCTATCATAACAATATCTAATAATTATTGACTTTAATTGACTATTTCCCCACTGATTATGAATCCTTTGAGATAAGATGTTATCTTTGTATTTTTAACTTCTATTTATGTGCAGGCAGTCTGCAGGAGATTGGTTTCAGGACTGCCTCTGGATACTGAACTCCAGAGAGGGTCAAGACGCTTGCATGAAATGTGTTCACATATAATCTATAGACATCCTCTTGCACACTGTAAGTAACCTAATACAATGCAAATAGTTGTTTAACTGTATTTTTAGGGAAAAGCAATGGAAATGACTGTGTATGTTCAGTATGGACACACTTTTTTAAAAATTCTTTCATCTGTGCAGTTATTCAGCATAATTGAATAGAAGGACCCATGGAAGGAAACCAATTCTAAGATTATTAATATAACCATCCATATGCCTACACCCAGCTATATTCATATACAATTGCTTTGTTGTTTGACAAAAGCTGATAAAAGTAGTCTTTAACCCTTTATATGCATCCCTTCCTAAAATGAAATAAAGTCGAAATTAAGTCACAAAGGTTTCAAAGATACTGACTTTTGAAATTAGGCTTCTTCTCTTAAAAGTCCTAATGTAAATATCCAGTGTGTGATGCCCTAAGCAGACAAGAAAATGCTGGCTAATTGTTTCTAGTCACTTCATTTGTTTGGAGGAATCACCAGCAGTCCACAAAGTGAATTAATGGGATCAGCAAGCTCCAAAGTATTGTTCTGTAATTTATGTGGACTTCCCGATAAGTCCTCACAGTTTGCCAATATGTCCAATGATGAAAGATGTTAGGCCAAAACAAATTCTCTGTCTTTGCTTTTATACTATAGGAACAATTACAGGAATAGAATTTATCCATTAGCCAAATGAAATTTTTCTATAAATCACTGTTTTAATTGCTGAGTTAAAGGCTGTACTGGTTTCAGGAAAAGCCCAGAAAGGAGGGGGTTGCTGAAAAGGGGCTTTGTTGATTTGATTATACCAATGTGTTTAACTCCAGCTACTAGTCAAAACAGTTCCTGATGACACACTCACTCCTTTTTAATCATTTAATTTTGGGCTATTATTTAATTTCCCCTGTTCTTACAGTCATTCTGTTTTTAGTACATTGTGTATGGTGGGGCCTTATTGGATACACAGTGTTTGAATCAGTCTTTCTGCATTTCTCCCTGATTCTGTTGTTCCTGTACATCCTGGAACTTCTGAAGAGATGGAGAATAGAGTTCAATAGAATTTCATAATGTTCAATTAAAATTTTAATAAAGTTATCCCTTCTTACCCAAGCTGACACAGAAGAAGTAGCAAATTTTCACATACATGTGTTCTTTAAAAAGCAATCAGGAGACTGGCATTGTGGCACAGTGGATTAAGCTGTGGTCTGCATCACTGGCATTCTGTATCAGAGCATCAGTTTGATTCCTGGCTGCTCTGCTTCTGATCCAACTACCTGTCAGTATGCCTAGGAAAGCAGTGGAAGACGGCCAAGTGCCTGGGTATCTGCCATCTGTGTAGGAGATCTGATTATAGCTTCTGGATCCTGGCTTCAGCTTGGCACACACTGGATGTTAAGGGCAATTTAGGGAGTGAATTGGCAGATTTCGGAAGATCTCCCCAACCACCAGCTATGTTGCTCTTTCAAATAAGTCTTTAAAAATTAATCAGGATTATTTAGAACCTTAATGAAAACCAGATGGCTTGTTGAAATATTGATCTACCTTTTCGAGATACTTCATTTTCTCCTCACATTCTTGTCTCTTAAGGGCTTCCGCAAGGATATCTGCAGTTTCTAGAGGAGATCAGGGCAATCTTTAATGATTTGATTATGAGTTTACAATAACATTCACAAAAAATTGGATAGCAGTTAAACAATAATGGGTTAAGTAGACAAGTAAACCCTTATACACTGTATCTTGAAACTTTGAAAATCAAAATCACTAATAATTACAGAAGGACTAAATGAGCTGTGGCTCCAGGTAGTCTCATCCCTTTGGATGAGGAATAAGGCTGAGTTCAGAGCTGAGTTAGGATCCTGGAGCACCAGAGCCTCCAGGAATGTAGACACCATCCTCTGGATACATGGAGTGCCTGTGAAGTGGGGGGACCCTGAGGCCAGGCCTTAGGGTTAAAATTCAGGAAGAAGTGCTAACAATAAAGCTGTGTTTTAGTACTTAAATGTTTTCTGAGGAATATAGGAGTCAGGATGTTCAAAGTCATACCAACTTGGTACTTACTGTTATTCTCCAGTGAGAAAAGATGGGGCTGACTTTTCTCTAAACAACACAAAGGGGAAGTGAAGAAATTATTAGAAAGTTTCCATGTTTATAAATAGTGCACAGTAATAGCTTCCATACCTTAGGCCTTGTTAAGGTCTTTTCAGGGAAGGCTTTCCACTTTGAACTCAAGTCATGTAAACTGCTATCATAAGTATCCTTTTAGCCAACATATAGCATTTCTTAAGAATAATCTGTGCTGGGCCTGGTGGGAGAGCCTAGTTGCTAAATCTTCGCCTTGCATCTGTTGGGATCCCATATGCGTGCTGCTTTCTATCTCAGCTGCCCCACTTCTCATCCAGCTCCCTGCTTGTGGTCAGGGAAAGCAGTCGAGGACGGCCTAAAGCCTTGGGACCCTGCACCCATGTGGCAGACCAGGAAGAAGACCCTGGCTCCTGGCTCCTGACTTTGGGGCCATTGTGGCTACTTGGGGAGTGAACCAGTGGACAGAAGATCTGTCTTTCCTCTGTGTAAATCTGCCTTTCAGTAAACATAAGTAAATGTTTAGAAAAATATATATTCTGTGTTGAGAACCTTGTTTCCAAATATATGCTGTATGTAAAGGATCCCTAGGATGTGCTTTAAGATGTAACAGACAACAGTGATCCTTTTGGGGGTGGGGGAGAGTTGGGAGAAGGATTGCTGGGAAGCTTCAGGGATCAATTATTTTCAGAAGTAGGTCGGGCAGTTTCTGCGCCAAGGGACTGTGTTATCCTCTGGGTTGCTGAGGGCGAAGGCAGAAGTTATTGACAGAAGGCAGCTGGGCCACTCACCAGGCGCGCTGCTCTTCGAGGACCCCGCTACCGGCAGGCGCTGACTGCTCCCTCTGCGTAGTACCAGCTGAGATTCGCTGGGGGGATACATGGATGCTCGGAGCCAGAACTGCTTAGCCAAGCTGGCATCCAGTTCCGAAGAGCCGGCGAACACCAGTAATCCCGGAGAGCAGATTTCAGGAGACTCCTTTCTGCTGCTGGGATCTTCGCAGGACGCCGTGTCCATGGCAACTGAGGACGCTTCTTCAGACTTCCTTGCCCCACCCCACCCCCCAACCCTGCTTCCTGGGAAAACGGCCAAATTCTTAACAGCCGCTAAGGCAAGCCTTCAGTTTCCTCCGCAGGTGTTGGGGGTCAGTGCGCACTGGGGGAGCTATCGAAGCCCCCTTCTGCGGCGATCGCAGCCTTCCGGGCCAGTCCACGCCTTGCAGTCAAAACGTCGATGTAGGGACCTGTGCTGTCCTGTCGGAGTCAGTGTGGGAGCACTTTAGTCTCTTACAACTTCAGCCTTCCGCACCGCCCCTGCTGCTTAGCCCCACTGTCTGCCCCATTGCCCCCTCCCCTTTCTAGACCTGACTGCCCGGGATCAGCTCCTTGCGGTGGAACAAGTTCTAGGCCTGCGCTGGGAAATTCAACCGGGCCTGGGACAATAGAAACCTATATGTATAGGTTCCTATATATACATATATATATATGTATTTTAGGACTTCCCCCCTCTGATCTTTCAAGACAAATCTTAGGAAGCAAATTGAATAGGAATTGTAACTGCATTTACTAATCGCTCCTATCAAAAGTTGCCTAAATGTAGTTAGTTAGTAGAAGAGATGTATCTGTGTGGACCGAGTTCCTTCATGAAAAACTCAGGTATTACCAAGTGGGTGAGAATACACCCCAGGACATTGTGTAGGAACAATTTAGCCATTTCCCTACTGGAACGGCAACAACAGTGTGACGGGATGGCCTTTGTTAAGCCAGTATAGGACAGGAAATGGACACATGGTAATATCACAAATCTGTTTTCATGGTACTTTATTTTACTAAAATATTACATAGTTTCACACAAAGCTCAAAATTTGGTAAACACAAGCCGATAATAGTAACAGATCAATAAGCTAAAACGTAAAACAGATTCTGCTTCCCAATCTCTATATATTTAAAATCCTGAAAAAGCATTGAAAACAATTACATATATGTATTCATCAGCTAACATGTTTTTCTCTGGGCTATTGATAGGCAATGGACAACAATGTCAGCTATGCCAAAATCCCTCCTTTCCCAAACACAAGGATGTTGCCAAGGCAACTCACCCCATGAACTCTCAAAATCTTTTTACCTGGCTGTGTGGTTAGTGATTGGTACTACCAGCAATCAGCTAACTACACTGCCTAGTAACTAGACTCAGAGGAGAACTTCCGTCTTGATTTGGCACTACCATTCGTTGTTATAAGCAGATTAGGTTAGTTGCCAGTTTGGTGACTTCCTAAATGGAAAAATAGGCACAAAGAATCACAGCATATTAACTGTTTAGTGGCAGGAGTCAGGAATTCCCTGCCCGCTTCCCCAGCCATTCAAATGTACAAATGTGTATATATATATATTTATCTCCCAAGTGGATGCCGCTAATCTCGGATTTCGCTTTCCTAGTCGGATCGTCCCCCGTGGCCTCTTTGGCTCTCTGACAAGGCGCTGGCCCATCCACACTGGCTCTGAGCGTCTCTGAGGGTGGAGCAGCTTTCTCCTCACAAGCCGGCGTCGTCCACTGGCGCGGCGGCGATGCTGTGCCTTGTTTTGATGGCAGTGGAGTTAGTGATTGTAAGCACCACAGTACAATCAGCTAATTACACTGCCTACAAACCGAGCACCGTGGCGCCCGGCAGCAGCAGCTCCCAAACAGTCCTCCGAGTGACCTCGCCCCTTCAGTTGCTCAGGATCCACCCCGCCTCCTCAGGTGCTCAGGAGTGACCCCCGACAATGGGCGGCGCGAGGCCTGGGGCCGGAGTCCCTCGACGACGGCCTTTCGGGCCCACCGGGCATCCTGGCCCCGCTGCCCCGGCCCGGGTTGGACTCGCCAAGCGCATAAAGCCTAGCACGGGCAGTGGGCGGCGCTGGCAGACAGTCCTGCGTGCTCCAGCGCCGCGTCCCCCGACCCCAGATGACCCTCGGGAGCTCCAGGTCTTCCCTTTCCCACCGGCTCCCCGCTTTCTTGGGACCCTCCTCCAGCTCACGTCCCCCTTTCCCTGTTTCTTTCCCTGTCCCCTCTTTGAACGACTCCCACTTCCCTCACGCCTGGACGGGCCCGTCTCAGGAAACTTCTTCTCAGTTCTCAACCCAAACCTCTCCCAGCCAGCGATTTCAGCCCCTTTGCGGAGGAGGAGGAGGAGCGGAGTGACCGAGGCCGAGGTCTGCCAACCGCCCTTGGAACCCTGCGGGCAGAGGGGGCGGGGCGGGCGCGAGGTGGGAGGAGGGGAAGAGGATGAGAAAGGGGCCGTGGGCGGGCCCCTGTGGGGCCTCCAAGCAAGAGGGTTAGGAGCTGGAGGCACTGAGTCTGGACAAGTTTCTCTCCCTCATGTGGGAGGAGGGGCAAAGAACATCTTTTCCCAAATCCCTAGAAGCCCACCCAATTGTCATGACCATTCCTCCCGCAAAACAGTTTCCCAGGTATCTCATATCTCAGGCTGGACTTTTCCACCCTCCAACAAGCCTGACTTTGTGAGTCCCGTCTGCACCCTTGTTGTTGCTGGGGACTTGACCTCATATTCTGAGAAAGCCATGCACAGAGGGAGGATAGAATGGTTCTACTTAAATAGTGAGCCAGCCTGCTTGCTAATTAAGTCAAAGTGTGGTCTTCTTGAGATCAAAGCCACGGGTTTTGGAGTCTCAAGGTCAACCATAGACAAAACTACTTACTTATACTTTTTGTATGTAGAAATACCTGCTGTTTGTTCAGCAGTGGTACAATCTAGGTGGTGACACCTGTGAGCACAAATCGTATCTCTGTACTGTCTCTAATGCTTTCCTGAATTGGGTAGACTTTGCTAATGGAAATGGGAGGGAGATAGCCTCAATGAGAGCTGTAACAGAGCAGAGAAGGCTCAAATAGGCCCTTAGAGGCCACAGAAGCAATGACTTGTAACAAATACATTTTCCTATTTTCACAATTACATATCCAATAATGGAAAAGTATGTGGAGCAGGTGAGGCAAAGGGGGCAGTTACAGATTTCTGGAAGATCTCTACTAACATTTTTTCCCCTCCTGTTTAAAGAAATGATTTAGAAAAGGATAAGAAATACTCTTTGACTCTCTGGAAATAATTGGAAATAATTTTCCTGGAATATGCTCTTCATTGCGTGAGTATGGGACACTCATTGTTGACCTGGAAAGCTTAGATCTAAATTATTTTCTACTAAAGCAAACTTCCCAGCTTTGGATTGTTTTCCCTAAACCAATCTATAGACTGAGTTCCTAAAACAAGCAAGTGGTCCCTTTGATGCCGCTAGTAGCATGCATAAGATCAGGTAATCTAGATCATTCGACATAGATTCCCAACTCTGTTAAAACAGTAGAACTTCCTAGGGATGAGCTTGGGTGAATTTTTCTTTGTCAAAGGCGTAGTTTGTTCTGGGATCACCAACGTGAAGAGTAAGAAATCAATGCCAAGTATAAAATACAGAAGATGTTAATTGTAAAAATCAACTTATAATATTAAAATATATAAGATCATTTACCACCTACTATAGTTTGTATTCATTCAACTTACATTTGAGAGAGGCACAATATTGTAGCATAAATTAGATAGATCATGCACTCATTTAAATATATGTATATAAAGAAAATGAATGAAGTGGCCTTCATTGCAATAATATGTAGACCTAGAAATCTTCCTTAGCATGCAATTTTGTCATTTTTGCCCAATACAATATTTGTCTTCCTAATTCATGCTTTATGATTCTAGGTTGTATTGAAAATATCTTACCTGAACTGGATTGCTGCCATCCAAAGCAGTGGTTGTATTCGATGCCTTGAAAAATTGATGTTTCAAAGCTTTTCTTTGAAGGTAATCAAAAATAAAGCTCACAAAAGAAGTCATATATAGAACTCACAAGATATATAACCTACTGAAATAATTTTAATGTGATTTATTTTGTATGTAATTCAACTGAAAAAAAACCAAAATGACAAAAAGTATGTGTGGCCCAGTTCTGTTTGGAAAAAGTTAAGAATGTTTATTCTCAGGGCTGTTGTTGACTTGGCCTGCAGTTACTAGAGAAACTCCAAGGATCTCATTGCCTTTATGGTTCATGTCTAGGCATGCCTGAGACCAGGGAGACCCATGACTTAATCTAAGTAAGAATGCTGTGTGGTGTTTGAAATGCCCCAACAGAAGCCTGTGTTTGTTTTAGCCCCAGGAAGACACCTTTCATGGGGCTTGTTTACTGTTTTGCTTTCTGGGCTTATGGTGATCAAGGAGATGGTGAAGGAGTTCTAAGGGGAATAAGATGTGGTTGGTGATTAGGTGGAAACCAACAATCATATGGAGAACAAATATCTTGTGCTTCAGCTGCGGCAGACTTGTGTTGGTTCCATTTAGCACTCCTGTGTGAGAGTCTAGAATGATAGCAATTGGGAATTACAAAATGTAGAGACAAGGTATCCCTTCCTTCAAGAAAAACTTCCCATTGGAACAGTGACCGTCTTCTACAACTTTTGAGGAATGTTATGTTGTGAGGGGAGGAAAAAGTGCAGCATCAGGCTGATTAGAAACTACTGAATTTTAGCAGCTTCTTAAAAAGAACTTTTCCTAAATGCAGCTTTTAGAAAAATGTAAAAACATATTTCAGTTTCCATATAGATGATAAAGGTCAGATTACCTTACTAATATTCATGATGGTATATCAAAAAACTGGTTTATTTGTCAAAGCAGGACTAAGCTGAAGCAATTAGCACCTTTTCTAAGCAAAAAATCAATGAATCTGTTTAATCAGGAGAGGAGATTTTCCTTTGAGCTAGAATGAACTGCCAGCAGTTTTTCTAGTTGTGTACTTCTGGTTTCATTTCATTGTGCTCTCATTTAGTAAGACTGTACTAGATTCTTAATTAGTTACTTATTTATTGTTATTGACTGTTATTGATGTATTCATTAAAATGTTAGATTAATTTATCTTTCAGGTAAATAAAAATAGTCTAATAAGATAGACTTTAAGGTTTTTGGAACTCTTAGTTATAGCTTCAGCAGTAGGAGAAAAT